CCCATGGTGCACTTGGGAAACGATGCGACCTTGTGGGTTACAGGCCTGATATCGATTCGCGCCTTTCTTTGTTTCATTTTTCGCGTCCGCCGACGCGCAAGGTGCCTTCGTTGCGCGAAGGTGGACGCGCTGGATTCGCGCCGTTACGTAGCGGGGCGGGTTCTTGGGAGCAGGAGGAGGAGCAGGAAGGAGGAGGATTCGCGCCTGCCTTTCATTCATTCATTCTTTCGCGTCCGCCGACGGTGGACGCGCTGTTACGTAGCGGGGGTTAGGACGATTCGCCTTTCGCGTCGGTGGGTTGTTTACGTTACGTAGCGGGGCGGCTTCGTACGACAGACAGCGCGTCCCGGGTCGTTGCTAGCTCTCTTAGCGCGTCCGTGTTCGCGCCTTCCCTCCTAGAAGGCTCGCATTCGGGACTGGTGGGGTGCTTCGGGACTGGTGGGGTGCCTTCGGGGCTGACAGCGCACAAATGGCTCGTCTTCTGGGGTGTCGTGTCGTGTCGTGTGTTGTCGTCTTCGATGGGTGAAGGAGCGGAACGAGGCAGACGTTCGTCTTCGGAGATGTGACGTTCAGAGGAGACGTATGGCGTGAAGCGTGAAGCGTGAGGAGGAGGGTGCTTACGTGCGCGGGTCCCTTGAGGATTCCTTATGCGCCTTGTGGATTGGGGGTGCATGTGGGCGCGTTTTCATTTCATTCATTTTCGACTCTCTCACATTCTCGCTGTTCATTTTCTCTCTCTCTCTCTCTCTTCGTTCATTTCCGCCTGCCTTCCTTCCTTGTGTCGCCGACTGTGCGCTCCTGCTGCTCAGGATCCTGGCCTTGAGTATTTATTTTATTTGGATTCTTTGTTCTTTATCTTCATCTTTGTTCTTTTTGTGTTCATCTTTTTTATCTTATACTTCATCTTTTTTATTTTCATCTTATCCTTCACCTCTTTCTTTTTTTACCTCGCCGCGGACCGTATTCCCGCGGGCGATCTCCCTGCTCTTCCATTCCCGCGCGCGCGCGATTCAGGCTCGTCGCGGTGCTTGCTTGTTCTTTATCCCGTTTTTATTTATCCTCATCCTCATCCTCATCCTCTCCTTCGCTCGTTCTTTGTCTTTATGCCTCACCCTTATACATACACCTACACCTACCACTCCTTTATCTTCATCTTCGTGCTTTATTCTTGCTTATCCTATCCTTCTTCAACTTTAAGATAGAGAACGAGCGAGCGCTCGTTCTTTATCTTTATGCTCGCGCCTTTCGTTCTTTTAACTCGACTTCGCTCGTTCTCTATCTTTATGCCTCACCCTGTCGATCCGCACCGTGGCTTCGTCGTCGTCACCTCCCTTGCATCTCTTCCATTCTGTTGGCGAGTTGGCAGGTTGCGTTATGCGCTCGTCATCGACAGCATCTCTTCATCTTCGCCTTCCTCTGCACGCATCCCTTGCCTTCCATTTCATTTCGTTGAGGAGCGACCCGCCTCCATCCTTGCTTTTGTCTTTGCCTCTACCCCCCGCACCTTCGTCGTTCGTCGGGTGCTCCTCCTCGGTGATTGGCGCGTCTGTCTTCCCTCCTTCTCCTCTTCTCCATCTCCTTCGTTCTCTCTCTTCCTCTTCTCTCTTCTTCTCTCTCTTCCTTTTCTCTCCTTCTCCCTCCTCCTTCCTTCCCTCATCATCTCCTATACTCGTCATACTGACTCTCTTTCGCAGCCAATGCCAGCGCCGCGCGCTCAAGTGCGAGTACCCCGCCGAGAGCCGCCGGGGGATGAGGAAGAAGAAGCCCGTGCCTGATTCTGCCTCCACGTCTACTGTTACCACTTCCACCTCTGCTGCTACCTCTACCTCCACTACCATTTCGACTTCCTCTACCTCTATCTCTACCGCCACCTCTGCTGGCGCGTCCTCGAGCACGATGAGTGCGTCCCCGGGCGCGTCGACCAGCGCGCTGTCCGCTGCGCTTGGAGAGCAGGATGTGAAGGTCCCGATATCGCTAGGAGGGGGTGGGGGAGGGGTGGTGATGGTGCCGATCGCGCCTGCGCCTCCTGCTGGCGGTGGTGGTGGGGCTACGCCCCCTACGACGGAGAAGACGCGCGATCCGCGCCGGATCCGGGATGCTGGGGGTGGGGTGCCGGGGGCGGGGAGGATGTAGGCGTCGGGAGTCGGTTGATATGACGCCAATGCCCGCCTCGAAGGAGGTTTATTTTTGCCTGTTTCATCCCCCATCCACGTTGTCACTGCGCCGCAAGTCCTGGTCTTCCTCTTCATCGCCATCATCGTGCTCGTATCTCCGCCCCTCCCCGCCGGCATGCCGCGAACCAACGCAACGAATGAACGACCACGACCGTGACGCCGACGCCTGTTCTCATTCACCTTTCTCCCCCCTTCCATTTTCCCATCGCCGTACAGTCTCCCCTCACCATTCGCCACGGTAAACCTCGCTCGGCCTCCCTCGTACTCCATCTCCTGCGACGTTCTCAGCAACACGACAACAAGACGACCCCATGCCCATGCCCTTTAGACTCGACACGCACGACTACGACTACGACTACGATTAGGACCTCGCTATGTTCGCTACGCTCATGCTTTCGTTGCTTTGAACCACTTGCTTTCTGGGTCGGGTCGTGACGTCTTCGCCTTCGTCCAGCTCGGTCGGCTCATGGCTTCCCTCATCGGATCCTCGACGTTTCCGGCTTCAGCGTTCTTTTGACGGCGGGCTGGTCAAGAGCGACGTGGACCACATAGCGGTTTGCCACGTCGAAGTCGGAGTCGCTGTAACTCGAGGTGTCGACGACGAAGACGAATTTGACGCGAAGACGAGACGCACCTCCAAGCTCACGCCCACATATATCCTGTACATACGATACCTCTACCCCTACGCTCTACCTAGTCAGTCAGTCCCCACTCCTCCTAAGTCCCAAGTCCCCTCCCTACCCCTACCCCTACCCACCAACCAATCCATTCTTACTTATTATTCGCGCGTTATTCGTGCGTTATGTCGCTTTATTCGTGCGGGTTGTTAGCCCGCGCGTTACAGAGTGTAGTAGTGTGTTTTTTGTCGTGCTCTCACTTACTTTTACTCTTACTTACAAACTTACAAAGTGTGCTATTTAGCTTGCGTGCTCGCGTGCTCGCTTATCGAGTCGGGTCGCGCGCGATGTGTTTTATTGGCGCGCCTCGGGAGGGCGAGCGATGATTCGTTTTTCTTTCTTTGGGTGTACGCGTAGACATGTTTTTCGTTGGGTCTTGGTGGTGTTTATGTATATACGTAGAGATAGGTGTTGTTTTCGTAGTGCTTTCGAAATGCAAATGCAGTGAGGTTGAATTGCTCGAATGTGATTCGTGTTGGTTTCGATTGTAATTCTGGTCTCGGTTTCGTCGTGAGGTGCTTCGCGGAGGGCTCATGAGATTCGATGCGAAGGCTGTGAGTTCTATTACTCTTCGTCGTTCTGCCAATGAAAATTAACCGGTTACCAGACGAAACCTCTCCAACAATATTTCATGGTTCAAAATGACTGACTCTCCGCTCTCCGGCGTAACTCCTCGCGACGGCGTCGCGGTCCGTCTTGAACTATTATTATCTTTGGAGTCTTATTATCTTTAGAGGAAAAAGAAGTTAGTTGAACTACACTCGCGGGAGGCGTTTGTCTGATGTGAGGTATCTATTTACGAGACCACGAGACTCGGAGGAATGAATCCGGAAAATGAGATACGGAATTTGTACGGAATACGGAAATCGGAAATCGAAATTGAAATAAAATAGGATCGCGGGATCCGGAGTCGGGACGGGAGGACGTAAGGATCTGCAAGGGTGGTCTGGACTTTGCAGGGTCGCGTCAGATTGTTACTGTCGTGTTAATTAGGAGTTCGTAAGGGATGCGGGATGGAGATCAGGGATCATCGGATGTGCGGGAATATATGTGCGTGGTACGTATATGTTAACGGAGCGTACGGGAGGATCATAGAGGATCGTAATGTAACATAATATCAATGTGGAGGGAGTCGTAATGTGGGGTACAGTGACGGATGTGGGGGAGGGGGAGTCTAGACCTGGCTGGGGATACGTATGCATGTATATGTATGGGACATATATGGGACTCGGGTCGGGGTTCGGTGTTCGGGATTGAAGCGCATCAATGAAGGGTTTGCGCCGTGGGTTTTTTTGGTTGATTGAGATTGGCATTGGGATGGGGAAGAGAAGAGGAGAGGTGTAAAAGGAAGAAGAGAAGGAGCCAAGGAAGGAGGAGTCTTTTAATTCGTTTTTTCAACCGCATCGAGTTCAACTTGTCTTGTCTCAAATTCAACCACATCCATCGACCGTTGCCGGAATGGGCCGCAATTTGTATCAGAGGATAAGAGCTGAGGAGGGGATTGAATGGAGCGTGGAGGAGAGAGAAGAATCAGGTAGGTTTGAATGAGGAGTGATCTTTTCATCCATATAATTTGACTTGAACGTTGAACGAAGTGGAAATATGTGAATCCGAGAGGGCCGACTGAGCCGAAAGAACCAAAAGATGCATCTACACCCCCCAGTGAACGACTGACCTTGGGTGTGAGAAATGTGGCGCATTGTGGGCGTCAGAACGAGGTTGAACATCACTCATCAATTTTTTTCAACCACATTACATAAGTTGAACCATCTATTCAACCACGAACATGGACAGAGGCGCAGCACTCGCTGGATTGCATTTAAATTTCAAGCAAATGCATAGACTGCGCGAGACTAAAGGGTGGTCCAGAGAGGTATACGCTGTGATCTGGGCACTGGGACCAGGTTGAACCTTTTCAACCACATTACGTAAATTCAACAGTGTTTTTCAATCACGGACATGGACAGAGGCGCGGCGTTGGATTGCATTTAAAATTGAATACATGGGCTGCCCATTTGAATGTTGGGAGTACTGAATAGGGAGTCCGAGGTGGAGGAGTGGTGGATGTTTGGTAAGTAGAATCAAGGACAAGCGATTCAAGGGATCTGTGGCTGCCAGCCATGGTCGCAGTATTTTAATTACGTCCATAGGGCGCATGGTGTAGTTGGTTATCACGCTCGCTTAGCATTTGCTTACGTAAAGCCGCTGTGCGAGAGGTGTTGGGTTCAATTCCCAATGCGTCCATTCTTTTGGCTTTTAAGTTTTTTCTGTAAAAAATGCACTAAGTCAAAAAAGACCCAATCATTAAGGAAGCTCAGGAAAAGAGCAGGCGAAAAGTGGCGGAGATTGGTGATCCTTGGTCCTGAGTAATATTCAGAGGAGGGAGGATACTTTCGAAAGCAACGAGTTGATCTCTGCGTTTTGTTTTTTGTCGACGACATCGATATTGAGGGACTCTTGATTTTTGATTTTGTCTTTTGAAAACGGCTTTGGGCAGTGAGAGGCAGCGCTGGGTGCACTGGTAAGTAAAACACGATCACATGCATTGTAGCCACGTTTAAATGAATCAATGATTGAAATCGCGTGCCTGGCAAGCTTGAAGGGGATTTTCTAACTCGAAAGACATGCAAGTCAAATATTATTCATCTTGCGTTAAAGCTCATTACAAGTTGCACGTCGGCCAGTGCGCCGTTACGTAGCGGGGCGGACTTCGAGGCTTCCCGCCTTCGGGGAACGACAGCGCGCAGAAGGTGAGGGACAGCGCACAAATGCCTCGCTTCTGCGCGCTGCCATGCGGTGACTTGAAGGTTGTCCGATGCGTTCTTTCCTGTTCCGCATGTCGTCGCCCTTTGGTTTCACGTCGAGGCGAGGCGTTTGTGCCTGCCGTGGTCGGTTCCTTCATTAATATTATTCGAATTCTTTTCGCCTCGGTCATATCCCTTCGCATCTCTATGGATGGGTTTCATTTTACATTTCTTGCTCCGTCGGTTTTATCTTTCCTTCGCCCCTCGATAACCCACTTCCATTCCATTACTCGTATCCTTAGCTGGGTATCATTACTCGCGCCTTTCGTAAGTATTACCCAGGCCTTCGTTTCGTTATAATTCTCGTGCATTCGCGCCTTCACTTTCATTGCAGCGAATGCGGCTCATTTCAACGTTAACCTGTTGTCTCCTATCCTATCCCACCGCGGGATCCATGGTCATGGATGATGTTCCCCATGGTGAATTCCACCTGTAAGCATCCCTCCCGTTTCTGGGAACAGGCCTAGTCTTCGTCTTTATTATTTTATATCTTCAACGAGACATGGAGTTGGACAGCCTTTTGAGTCAACCACATCTAGTCTGGGCAGTTGCAACAACCACCAATTTCCGTACACTGAGATGAAACGAGGGTCTAGGAGTGCTCCAAGAAGGAGTCGGATCCGGCCCACACATCACCTATTGATTTTTCAACCACATTGAAATTTGTATGCATGCCCGCGTGTATCACGGTCCTGTCGGGCGTGAGCCAGCTGACTCTCTGGCACTCCACCGCTATCGCGCTACTTATCAAAGACGGCCGTACCAGTGGGATCCGGCCGGTGTGCGCCATTGTGCCTCTTTGCACGCCGTGATTATCGCTCAACAGCCCTGCAGCGTCGTTAACCAGCGTTAACCCATCGTGGTTACCGCTCCACGGCGCACGTCGGTGTCGTTGGATTTGATCATCTACTCCGGAATCAAACGCGGAATTATCGCTCCACATCTTTCCGTCAGGCGGGCCAGGGACGGGAGGTTGTGGTTCAAATTCAACAGCTTTCGCAAGATGTACCTGGGATGAGATGATCAGACGGTCAGCTGGAGGGACGCAATGACTCCACCTTATATGAATAGACTGCGGGCGATGCAAGCCCAAGAGACGGAGATTTTCATCGTGTTCAGGTTGAACATTGATTTTGAACCACATGCTGTTTGGAGTGTGAAAGACAAATGCATAGCCGTGTGAAAGAATTGGATTTTCGACGAAATTCAGGTCAACCATAGACTTGTCCGCCAGCCACTTTGAGCATTATCACCACTGCACTGGGAGTCTGTTCTAGTTCAAATTTATGATTTTCTTGGGTAGATACGTAATACCAGGCGGGTCTGGACAGGTCTGGACCCAAGGACGCGAACGTGGATCGTGATGAGATGGGACGCTTGGACCGGGGCCAAAGATATTCCCACACAACGAATACTCATAGAACCTGTAACCAGAAAACCTCCTGAAAATCGCCCGGTTTCGTTGTTCAGTCATCTACGGTTGCCTTCGGTTGAACCACATCGACGGATCGGGAAGGCAGTTTGATGGGCTAGATTCTTCCGCGGAGGCAGATTAATTTGATCGGGATCAAGGAGGTTGAATTTGGTTATCTGGTATGATTGATTGAACAGGCTGAGGTGCAGTTTTTGAGAGAGGGATCTGGAACCGCTACGTCGTTCAACAAACGCAGTGCAACTTGAAAACTTCGGCCTGAAACCATTCAACTAATTCATGAGTCTAAGTCTGAATGAGGTTGGGCCCACTGAATGCTGTGAGCTAGAGATCGGGGTGCGCTCATCTGACTGCATGATACTTGAATTGTCTCTGGGAACCTCACACTATTCCCAACCCGACTGGTTGGCTTCTATGTAAGAACTCTCGACGGAGGAATATAGAATGAATTTCAGGGTCTTCGTTCATTTTTCTGTCTTTCGCCTATCCACCTCTGACTCCGGTGGGTCTCCTGAGCGTCGTCGGTTCAATTTCCTTCCTGTCGTTCTGACAGTTTCCCTACATTTTGATGGTACATATATTGCTTCGAACTTAAATTCCGCAGCAGTGGAATCCTCTTTCATTATGGACCAGTTTCTGATTTCTGTCAGTGTCGGCGTCGATGGGATTTCTTGTTCTGTTTGTTCTGATCTGTGTTGTAACTTTTAATCTCGGGGTGCTCGGTGGGTTGATCGGAAGCGGTTTGGTTCTGATTCGAAAGCCAATCGCCGTTCAACTTCGACAGGTTTAGTCTAGGGATTTCTGTACAGCAAACGCACTACGGTACCCAATATCCGGTACAAATATTAACTTACATTAATTTTGAACTCTTGAACCGCATGGAGATGGAGGATTTAGGTTGCATGGAGGCAAATATTGCGCGATATATTAATTGCCCTCGGCGTATCTGCGTGCGCCATGTGACGTTAGGTATCCTTTGTCCCGATTTTGACGCCCCCTTGTACTTTACCTTTCCGGATCTCTGCAATGTTACATCACTCCTAAGAATCGCATCCTGCCAAGCTTGAGTGCACAAGGGCGCATCCAAACAGGTACAAGGGTCCTTCATTCGTGTTCAATGCCTCGATAGTACATTTCCGAGCAGTTCCACTGTTGAATCAGTAGCGCATCGAAAGGGGCACAGCGAGGTCATGTGGCCATGTTGAAAAAGGTAAATGAACGATATTAAATGTCCCAAAGGCAAAATCAACCCCACAGCCAGTCTGTAATGATTCTGGTGCCAACTCCCGAGTTGGTTCAAGGCGGCAGGTTCCGGAATTACCCGGGGTATTACCGGTGACCATCCCCGTATGACCTTTCACGTGAATCATTATGAATTGGCAGTAGGAAAGCAAAAGATTGCACAAGAGGAGGTTTGAACCTAAGACCTCTGGATCAGGCTGGATTTGAACTCAGCTTTTCCGGTGTGTTAACCATTACACTACAGACCCGTTACAGCATTTCCGGACTTAGAGAGGATATCATGACGTAATGGGCTGGCTAGACCCATATCCATCACATAGCCCCCCCAGTCTGGGAATGCTGGAACAACGCGGATCAATCACTATCTGATCCACCAATGTAATGATTCTGGTGCCAACTCCCGAGTTGGTTCAAGGCGGCAGGTTCCGGAATTACCCGGGGTATTACCGGTGACCATCCCCGTATGACCTTTCACGTGAATCATTATGAATTGGCAGTAGGAAAGCAAAAGATTGCACAAGAGGAGGTTTGAACCTAAGACCTCTGGATCAGGCTGGATTTGAACTCAGCTTTTCCGGTGTGTTAACCATTACACTACAGACCCGTTACAGCATTTCCGGACTTAGAGAGGATATCATGACGTAATGGGCTGGCTAGACCCATATCCATCACACAGTCAGTCAAGCTCGATTCTCATGCCCAGATTCAGCATACAAGTCTCATAATCTCAACAATTATGGAAATTGGTTGGTCCCCTGGACACCGAACTTCCAGCATCGGCGCCGGCTCGATCAAGAATAACAGGCGCCTTGCGTGCTTAATCAAGGATAAAGTTTGAGAGAACGCGGCTGTGGCTCTACATGTCTATTGCCAACGAAATTAAATATTGAATACGGAAATCAACCACACACGGCAAGCGAAGCAATGCGGAAAACAAAAATGTCAGTTGACCAGAGGGCGTCGGAAAGAAAATGATGATGTGCGATATTAACCAGCGCGCCGGAGCGAGGAGGATGGCGGCTTCGTGATCTCATACAGTAAAATTTAAACGAACGTCGGCCCGTTTAGCTTTGTAACGGACTGTAAATAGACCGATGGACCTGAACTATGGGTAAGTGAGTATTATCAATAATCTAGACTGGAACTGGCTTATTATAAGGGCTTGCAGCGGGACGCCGACGGAGTACAGCTCAACTGAGAGGACATGCTTGCTGGCTGAATAAATAAATCAGAAACGAACTAGGGAGAGCGATCGAGAAATCCCTATTTCCGACGGCAGCCAACACAAGAACGCATCGTTTTGGAAACCTAGCGTGCGCACGATCGATAGATCCAAAATAGAGTTTGAAAAGACAAGGGCGGGCGTGGTGGGCCTATTGGCAGCGAAATTAAATCAGCACGCACAGAAACGGAAAAATGAAGCACACTCAACCAGCGAGATCAACAGACGCTACTAACAACTTCGAAGAAGCGCACGTAGACAAGAAAGTGACAGGAAACTGCTCCCGCGACGCTGACATGGCGCGAGTCCCGATCTTCCCACCCGCGCCGTCCAAGCCAGACAAGGCACGCACTGACTTGTTGTTCGACTGATCATTTTGCTTATTCGTTTTTTATTTGTTTCTTTTCGTGGGATCGCGGTCGACCAGTCACCAGACCATTAGTGGGCGGTGTGGACGCACTATGGGGCTGCCGGCACTTCGACGGTCGATGAGTCAATGACGATAACGCCGATCTCGATGACACCGATGTGCCAGCAACAGATT